CACACACACACACACACACACACACACACACACACACACACACACACAAACTTTTTCATTTATGAGTTCAAGCAGCTGTGATGCAAGAGTAAGTGTTTAAAAACAAAAATAAATATATAAATCAGTGGCAAAGTCTGCTACAAAACAACATTTTTTGTTATAAATACAGCTAAAATGTCCCTTGTGCATTTTTTAACCTCCTTGGAGGAAGATAGTGGCTTGAATTGAGTTATTTTATGTTGTTTTATGAATAAATTACCCATAAGCTGCAGGGTAATAGGAACCAGGGCAACAGGAATGAACTCAATGAACTCAGCTCTCCAGTGTCAACACCAGGCAGCCTGATGTTGCACAAAATAAATCACAAAAGCAACTTTACACGTACAAATTCTCATACTTGACCAAATAAATATATATTACATTTAAAAACAGGGCTAGCAGGCGCTATAAATAAGTATTTAAAGCACATTTAGCTGCTTTAATCTGACATTTCCTTGAATTAATTTGATCAAGAACTTCTCTGAGGGAAACCACAGTGACGCACCAGCCACCATACGCCGTCAGGTTTCACATACACTGTTTATGTCACTAATTAAAGCACGTTTTTATACTAAAATCCTGCTAATTGTCGCTGACTCGCAGAGCCCCGGGGAGACGTGGTCCGCTCCGGCCGCCTATCGCCGCTCGCATCCGGGACAACAAAGGCAGATTATCCGCCGAGGAGAGAAACTAGGGCGCGGAAAGGCGACCTCTTTATCGCGTAACACGAGGGAGATTTTCAGCCTGGCTCACATAAAGACCTCTCATGAAGTCAAAACGATGAAAATAAATGATAAATTAGAAGAGGAGAGGACGTACCGGAGAGTCTCAAGTTCAAGTTGAAGTTCTTCCGTCGTGGCGTCCCAGTCCGCGGGCTTCCTCTTTCCTACAGCGGCTGCTATTTCACCCAACCCGAGGAGGAAAGACCGTTTTTTAAAAAATAAATAAATAAAAAGCGATTTTTTTTTCTTTTTTAGGAGAGGAGATGAACTCTGTTGTCTCTCCCGAGCGAGGTTTTCCGGTGGGCAGCGGAGAGCTGCTGCTGCGCTACCCCGGGTCTCCGCGACTCCTCCGCCGGCCATCTGTCTCAGTTCATCGGGGACACGCAAGCTGCAGCCTGCCGCCGCCGTCGAAACCAGATGGGTTCAGCCGAGGTGAAACGGTTACACAACCAGCCCTGGAGTGCAGTCGGCACACTGCACCGTCACGCTGCTCGGTTTGGAGCCGCCGAACTCGAGGGGGGGAAAATATCAGAAATAAACGACACAAAATGTTAAAATGTCTGCTAAAGCCGGGACTGCGGCGAGATGATTTTTAACGGCTGCGTCACTCCCCCCCACCTCTCCTGCCCCCTCCGCGGGTCCAAACAGCACTATTTAATTCAATTTCAAAACTTTTAAAACATGTATTATTTTTTAATTCCACTCATTTTTTTAAAGTTCAACACAGCATAGGTTATTTAAAATATATATAAAAACTACTTTTAAATGTTACAAGTTGATTTAAAATGTAGAGTGCACTTTAGACTAGATTTATTTGAAGATGCAATAAAGGAAAAGTTCATGAAATTATAACTTTAGCACCATTAAATAACTTTTTATCACCCTATTAAAATTCATAAATGCATAGTTAAAAACAATGGCTAGCTTGTTGAAAAACAATAACTAACATTACACTACTCCCTAAAATGCAACAAAATCCTCACACTATTTTAAATATAGTCCTATATAGAAAAAAAAATGTAAAAAAGCTAAATATATGTAATACAGTTTTACACTTGTCACATTTTTTAAGGTGCTGTGTGCATTTGGGCAAATAGCAAGCTAGCTTGTTTAAAAATAATTAGCATAACACTCCCTAATTATGAAATACAATCCTTATAAAATTATAAATGCAGTCTAATAAATGAGAAAATAATAAAAAATACTAAATATATGTTGTGCATTTAAAAATTAGCAAGCTTTCTATACTGCTTGGTGCATTTTGCCAAACTAGCTTGTAAATAATAATAATCATAATAAATCATAATAAATAGCATAATAAATATTCTTTAAATGTGCTGAATCATGAAGTTTATAAAAAAATATGTCAAAATAAGCAAAGGTAGAAAAGAATCAAAATTTCACAGATTAAAAAGTTCTGTCTGAATTGTAGCAACTAACAGGAAAGCTTAAAAATAATAACTAGCACACTTAACACACTAATTATGCTGTGTCATCTTTACACACATTTTAATATAAAATTAAAAAAATAAATATACTGTATGCTGCTATAGGTAAAGTTAAAACAACTGCAAGATTTCTCAAGATTTCTCTGGTGTGTCTGCACTTTGGCAACTAACAAGAAAACTCCTTAAATAATAATAATAACTAGCATGACACTTTACACATTAAATGTGCTGTGTCATCCTTACACAGCTGTAAACGCACTCTAATATAAACAAAAACAATAATAAAAACTTAGGTAAAGTTAGAACAGACTAAAATGTCAAAACTATAACATTTGCATTTTGGCAATTTACATAAAAACTTAAAAAATATTAATAACCAACTTGATACTTCACATGCTAAATATGCTGTGTCATCCTCACATTGCTGCAAAAACAATTAATATGAAATAATAGTGATAAAAAACGTAGGTAAAGCTACAAAATGACATAACTGTAAAGTTTTTCATACTGATGTAAGAAGTACTTTGACAACACAAGAATGTAAAAAGTAATAATAACCAGCATGACCCTTTACAAATCAAATGTGCTGAATCATCTTCACACCACTGTAAATACACTCTAATAAAATAAATATATTTTTTGTGTAAATAGGTCAAGTTAGAACAGCTGCCAAATCTAAAAAATAAATAAATAAAGTTTTCTATGATGTTTGCATTTTGGCAACTAAGGAGAAAAGCTTATTAAAAATAATAATCTGCAGGACATTGTACACTAAATGTGTTGCATCATCCTCACACAACTTTAAATACACTAATATGAAAGAAAATAAACCAAAATAGGCAAATTCACTTCATAAGAACTAAAAAAATGTCAGAACTATTTATTCTCTTTACATTTTAGCTAATAGCTTAAGTAATTTCCCCAAAAATATCTGATTGTGGTCATTTTTTCTTGCAGATTTTTATTGTTAATTCATGAGGAAGACAAAAACTCTTTTAAAAAAATATCAGCATTCAATAAGTTACTAAAAGGTAGTTCGTTTTTCAAAACTGGGTCATTCAGAGGCACCTTCATTCTCTTTATGAAACCTAATTTAAAATGACGACAGTGCAGTATTTTATTTGATGTTTTTGCAGAGGTATTATTTAATATTGCAGAAGCGTAACTCAAACCGCAAAAAATCTCCCTTTTTCTAGTGGTGCAGTGTTTCCTTTAACAGACGTGGATAAATATTAACTTAATAATTACCTCCATGGTATGGGCAAAAACACACTCCTTTACCGAGAAAGCAACGCAATGTGAAATAATAAAGGATGTACCTTTAAAATTAATTATTATCCAATGAACAAGTTCATTAAAATGCCCTTGTGTGTGTGTGTGTGTGTGTGTGTGTGTGTGTGTGTGTGTGTGTGTGTG